AAGCCAGCTGTTGCCTTCCCGAGTACTGTCCAACGTGGTTAGGTGAGGGAGTCACAAAGTCAATCAGGAATCCCATATTGGCATACCTTGTGGATACGGAGCAATTCTATACAATGTGCCACCTCAGTTCTTTACGTTTGTACATCAGGTAGTTGTCATAAAGGCTTTCAACCCAATCTCTGTGTTCAGAAAAAGGTGTTTCAGTCCCTCTCTCTCCCATCGCTTAATCTAAAATATTTATCTCTCCTAGTGACACCGGATAACTGTAAATAAAATTTATTTGTCCTGTTAACCTTATGATCAAAAATTTACTTTAGTCTTAGTTTCATAATTTATCATTATTATAATAACTAATCGTCATGTGACAATAGTTATTTCTGCCACTGTACATAAAAAATACACATTCTACTTAATTTCTACTTGATTATATTTGATTCTGCTGATTCACATTGTTTCAAATAACTGTGACTAATATTTTACTATGCAATTAAAAGCCAGATAAGAATTTACCAGAAATATGTATTTGCTTTGCTTCAGAGGTGATGAAGTTTCCTGACCAACAGCAACAACCACCACCACAACAACAAATAACAATGAGCATAAATGGGAGTAACCTGAAAGAAACAAACTCCTTTATCTGCCTACCTATCAGGGAAGCGTCGATTCAACTACAGGCAGAGCTAACGAGAATATCAAAGCAGCGGGGATCGAGAAAGCAAGGCAAGCTTTCATTACTCTCAAGTCTGTATGGAGGTCAACAGCATTCAGCATGAAAAATAGGATGTTGGTTTTCAACTCAAATGTGTAGTCAGTGCTACTTTATGGGTCAGAGACCTGGCACGTCGTGAAGGGCACTTCGAAAAAACTACACACCTTCATCAACAGCTGCCCACTTCTATGGTTCAATATTCAAGATCAGATGGCCAGAAAAGATCGGTAGTAGGGAGGGGTCTCTGGGAACGAACCAACCCAGCAGGAAAAAATTGTGCAACAAATATGCAGGAAGAAATAGAGGTGGATAGGCCATACTCTGAGAAAACAAACCATCAAGTGAATGACATCACACACTAGGCCATTGCTCGAGTAAGACCCGAATTGGAAGCGGCGAGTTGGTCGTCAGTGCGAGGGTGACATGGAGGAGGTCATGTGAAGAGGAAATGAGAGCATGTGGGCATACGTGGAGCCAGGTGAAAATATTGGCAGAGAACTTAACACAATGAAGACATGTGGCTGAAGCCCTATTTTCCTCTAGGAACTAAAGGAAACATCAATAGTAATAATGTATTTGCATAAATCCTGTTTTATGATTCCCAAATATTGCACAGAAATGCCCAATTAATTTTGTTTCAGTAACACATAAGATTTCTTATCTAACCATTTCGTCATTTTGCCAAAATGTAAGTTTTATCCGTCTCAGTTGACAAATAGATTAACTAGATATGATTTTAATTATTACTAAAAATGAAGGCATACATTTATATACATTCACATCACAGTTGTCAAAATCCATATATGTGGTAAGAATACCTGATAGTAACTTATTTTTCTTTTTGTGCATTCTAGTGCATTCCAAAGGTGGAACATGTGACTTTAAGGTTTTAAGTCTCAGTAGCGATACTGTTGTTTTCTCTATGGTAAAAGGTTTCTAAACTCACACATAATCTTCTCTCTTTTCTCAATTTACTATTGGCTAGTAAACTAGTCAAGATTTTGGAGTAGGTCGGCGAGGAGTCGAACTCCGATCACAAGAATGGTTGGCGGGTATTCTGTAGCTGAACCAACAAAAAAATTTATTGTTTAGTGACATACAATATTGCAGTCAAGCTAACAAATCGTTTTACAACAATTCAGTTCACTGCAATTTGTATTCACATGAATGCGTTCACTAAAGTACTAGGTGTTATTGATCTCTTAAAGTCTCGAAGATAAGTTTAAATCACCAGAAGGATGATCAAGCAGAAGCTTTCCATTCTGTGCGCTAGTCATTACAGTTTTAGCAAAAGTGAGACCACCTACTATGTAAGCTTTTGTGAGAGAAATACCTACAGCTTAATCAATATCTAATTAAATAGGCCTTAGTGGAAACAAAGTTAAAAATTAACTTTCCAGTTAACTTCAGTTATTCATCAACTATTCAATTTACTATACTATACTATTCTATTCCCCTTTAGGGGGATAGAATTAATGTTTGTAGACAAAATACCACGTGTTTTTAAATTAAAATTACTGAGTTTCCTTCTGTAGAATTAATGGCGGGTTAGATATACTAGCGTTTATGGGAAATCAACAAACTCTAATAAATACTCGGAATCCGTAAAGGAAGGTTTGGTTAAATGTATACATATTAATCAGAATGGGAGGCGGCGAGTTGGTTGGCCTAGGGTAACATGGAGGAGGTTGTGCGAAGAGGAGATGAGAGCATGTAGGCAGACGTGGGGTTAGGTGAAAACATCGGCAAAGAACGGAACCGCGTGAAGACATTCTGCGAAAGCCCCATGTCCCTCTGGGAACTAAAGAAGAAAATAATAATAATGATATATAATCGGGCCAAAAGTCTAATTAGTAAGTCAGAAAATTTAAATAATGAAGTCAAACAAATAAGGAAAGTATCACAACCCCGCTCACCCCCCATAATTTATTCAGGAATGCATAAAGACCCGTATGAAACATAACAGTAGTAATGAAAATGATAAAAATAAGATATATAGTAGGGGATTCAAAGTCTCTGTAGTATTGCCTTATGAAGAAAGAACATCAGAGGCCATAAGTAGGATTCTAAATGAGGCTGGAATCAGGGTGGCATCTGAAATAACCAATTCTCTCAGAGAAAAAAACCACTTCTGCTTAAAGACCCAATAGATCCTATTAAGAAAAATAATACAATTTACCAAGCATCATGTAATGACTGTTACTTCAATTATATAGATCAAACCAGTAAGTTAAGGTCAGTAAGATTATTTGAAGATAGAATGATTGACTCTGCTGAGTTAAATAATGTAGAAAAATGTTTGGCCAGTGCATTGTATTCGCTTTCACTTCAAATTGCAGATGTCGCCTAGTAGGGCGATGAAAGCTTCGCAAATCAACTATCCAGTTCACCGAACACAACCAAGTCAAAAAGCTTCCATATAATAACCACGCAATGGTTTGGGATAGGGTAAAAGTATTATAAAGTAGTGTAGTTAAGTGGGAAGGGAGGTTAATCGCTGAGTCTTTGTTCATCGAGTCAACATCAAGCATATGCGGTCGAAGTGACGTAGGGGCTATACTGGATACATGTAAAATTGCAATAAGAAACAGATGAGGGTGAGTGAAACTATATAAAGTGAGTTGTAAGGCTTTGTGAAAACACAGATATGCTTCTGAACAGTTACAGACTGTGCTCGAAACGTTATCCAGTCATCAATACTGTATAACTTTCTTGTGTTATAACAAATAAAACAAAATCTAATATTGAATTTCCTTCTGTAGGCATCTACACTGAAGAGTTTCATTTCCCGTGTTTAGTATTAAACGCATACGTTAAATCTGAGCACCACAAAAATTATGTTTGATTAATATATTGTACAGTAAAAAAATACAAATTCATTTAAACACCTTGTACGTCGGTGGCACAGTGGTAGAATGCTCGCCAACCACGCCTCATGCGGTCCGGGGTTCAATCCCCGACCGATCCATCCCTTTACCTCTCTAGCCAGTAATAGGACTGGTAAAGAGGGAAGGTTTGGCATGAGGCTCGCAACCCCATCCCGTAAAAATAAATACCACTGCTACCGAAACTTCAAGTCTCTAGCTTGAAACGCTATGTTCCACGGCGAACGTAAAGGAATAAAAAAAAATCATTCTTAGAATTATGGCTTCTCTCTTCATCCCTTCCCATACCAAGTAGAATATAAGACGTGAAACTATGAGGTTTTAATAATGGTGTTTCTTTTTTGTTAATGGGTGGGGTTTCTGGTCTGACATCCGTCTAGCACCGTCTAGTACTACCTGGTTGATCCGAGATTATTATACTACTTACCAACCAAAGCAATCTACGGCATAAATAAATGTGTTGTAAAAAAAGCATTTTTGATTAATGTTAGTCACTGGCTTGAAAAGACATCTCTTTTCTTATGGACACTAAATATTTTTAAACTAATGACGTTTTTACATCATAAGTATTCAGGTGGAGTTCAACTACAACAGGCATCACTAAGCACCTTCTGAATGATATCGAACAAGCAGCCATAGTGAAGGGGCATTAAGACTGGTAAATCTGTTATTAAACTGTATTCCCCTATGTATATATACATATATATGTATAGGCAGCCTTAATCCTCCTTATTAGTAGTGTAAAAGGTTTTCCAAGTTAAGCATAATAGGTCATCGTAACAGATCTAGATAAAACCAGGAAACCAGATCAAGGGTTAAACTGTGAACTCAATACCCTTATGGGATTCATGTTGAACAAAATGTGACTGGTTGTTTCAGGATGACTTTTCAAGGTTCTTCGGTCGAGTTATTGGTGATGGCTGCCCATAATTTAAGGCATTTATGGGTTGAACTTGAAATTGTACCCAAAGTTTATTTTAATAGTGATATGTGTTATTCTTCTTGTGTACAGAATTTTGAAGACAGTATTCACTTGATAGCATTATGATATTAATCAGAAAAGTTCTCTTATCATTGGTAAATGTAAAAAAAACAGTGTTGCTTTAGAGATTTATGTGCCGATTGCATTTTATGGTGTAATTAAAACAAAGGTGTTTTTTCTGCAAAGAAATTTACCCCTGAAAAAAATTCACGAAGTAAACTATAAAATATATCATTCAGTATTATGAAGTGATGTTTGAAGTGAAATGATAACTTAATGTAGTAGTTGAGTCTTGTAACTCATTCGCCTGATGGAGTACTAGGCTAGTTATCTGTAGGCTAATTGTTTGAGTCTTGTCGCTATTCAGATTATCACTTTACCTCTAATCATCATTCATAGTAGAAATAAAGTTAAGTGAACTCACCATAGCTGTTTATAGCAAATGGGTTATCAGGAGGATCAAGACGATAACCACAAATGGCTGTATTCACGTGATCGCTTGTTTGACTAACTTCTTCTATTGCTTGAATTTGACCAACAATACTGCCAATTGGACTTCTTTGACCAATTTTAAAATTATAATGAGGTTTATCGAAGACTGGCCCATGTCGATTTATCACTTGAATACGAATTGGGACTCTGTATTGTATATGAAAAAAGCGATATAGAAAAATAGGTAATTCACACCAGGGAAAAAATTCTGTCAGTTTTTAGTGAGGAAAGTTTTTTAATTAAAGCATCCCTGTGTCCGTCATCAGTTTTTGAATGTCTTTACAAATATGAAAGTGATTTGTATCAAGGTTTTGAATTCTTACAGGTTTGATCATGAGCTGTGGTCGGTAAGAGAGTTACTGGAAAATCAAGGAGTACTGGACAGTTGTTTCGTCCTAGTTTAGTGCTCTTCATCAGTACCCACTCGCCGGGTTTAACCCAGGACCTTCCTGTTACAAAGCGAGATCGTAGACCATTAACCCATTGGGACCCAGTCTAGTGACCAATGAATTCCAACCTCTGCTAGTTCGCGAGGTACATAGAGCAATTACCTATCAATGTCATAAACGAGTAACTGTCTTCTAAGCTGACTTGATGAATTCTACTGGTCGTGGCTTCTCACTAGAACTTCAGCTAACTTCCTGTATGAATACAGTCGTTAGTGAGCATCAGATTAATTTTCAGTTGTTGGTATCCAAAACTAGGAAGAGACGCCTGTCCAGTACTCCCTGGTTTTCCAATCTTTCTCTCTAAGTGATATCAGCTAGTGGTCACACCTGTATAAATAGTTAAATCCCTGCGAACCAACATTTGAAAATTTCGGATTCTGTATAAAATGCCATCATGGTTCAGCCAGTTCAAAATAGTGGCAATGAAAACCCTAAAAATGGGTTACTTGGATCTATATTCATCGTCAAAATGTACTCCTATTTGTTATGTGAACAACTTAAGTGCAAGTAAATAATTCTGAAGATCTGAGTAGAATTCAGTTACCCGGCATCGGGCTTTAAGCCACATTTATTGTATCAGAGTTGGTGATACTAATCAGTTTTCTATGCTAAAAATAAGTGGAGTAAGGTGAGAACCCAAGTCCCATTTAGTTGGATTGGAGTGCTTGCGTCAATGAGCCACATCTTGTTTATGACGGGATGATAATGAGTTGTCGGTTCGTCTACCTTGATTAGAATGTGCCTCCAGATTACATTTCTATAACCAAATGATCACTTGAATTTCTCTCCCACATTGAGATGAACACAAATGTTAGGCTGAGGAAAAAGTATGATCACAACGACCGCTTATATTAGTTAGACAAAATATGTTATTTTGTATTTACAAATCCTCAGAAACTTAAGCCATAAATAAAACAAATCTGATTGGTTATATGATATCGAAATTACTAAAGAAGTTAAGCCACAAGTAAACGAATTAAAATTGTCCAGTCAGGTTATCACATCCCTATATGCATAAATCACTACTTCATGGCTGGCAAAGAAGCTTGAACGTTTTAAAAATCGCTTGGTTTCTTCATGCTTTCAGAATATCCTCCTTTACAACTACGATAAAATAGGTATGACAGGGATAGGGCATTCAACATAATACCCCGGTACTGATTACCTCTGAAATTCCTATAATAAATACAATATTCATCAAAGTTACAGCGTTCGATACCCATAAACAGATTTCCCGAAGCATACATAACTAACTCTACAGGCATTAGCAGAATTTCTAAGCAGTTTCACTCAACTAAATGCACACTCTTAAAACTTTCTATGCAGATAAATAATTACAAAGGGATACTACTAAGGCTGTATCACCTTTGCTTGTTGCATTTAACACGATGCTTGTTATAGAAAAGTACATTTTATGAGTGAAAAAATAATTTAGCTTTCAGGGTATAAGTATACAACTTGTAGATATTATTTAACAAATACACTGTACACCATCTAAATAAAATTGTCAAAATTAAAAAGAATTAAGCATGGCAGGATTGTTCCTTTCGGTTAAAAGTTTATCTCTCTGATAATAAAATGCCTTATCCACAATAAATTGGTAGCAACACAAATGACTTTCTATTTTTTCTGATCTTGACGGCTAGTTAATCAACTTTAAAGTATCAGGTGGTAAAAGTCAACTTCCTTTGTTATGTATATACATACAAAACTGATTGACAGATAAATTTAAATGTGACTCCTGAATGTTTAAAGTTTTTCTGTTTACATCAATGATATTAATATGTCACTATATTCAACGGATATTATTTAATATTATTATTATTGTTATCATTATTGATTTTTAATCAAGGGTTTGGCACGTGTTTCAAACATATATATTGTTTTGAGATAAATGTCTCCTTCTCTTCATTTTAGATAAAAATGAAATTTTCAAATATTGGCCTCGTAGGGATTTCGTTTGATTGCATTGAGGATTTCATCATGAGCTGACATCAGTTAGGGAACCATTGGAAAATCTGGGATTACTGGACAGCTGTTTCGTCAGCCTAGTTTGCAACTCTTCAGCAGTACGCACCCACTGGGGTTCGAGCCCGGGACCTTCTGGTTACAAGGCCACCGAACTCGTAGAGCATTGAGCCACTGAGGCAGCACATCATCGAAGAAGACATTGCGAAATGGTCACGCTATGTCGTCAATTGGCAGAAGTTAAAATTCAAGGACCATTGGATCGGGTCTCATTGGCTCAGTGGTCTATGAGCTCGCCTCGTAACCAAACAGTCTTGGGTTCGAAACCCTGGTGGGTGCGTACTGATGAAGAGTCCCAAACTAGGCTGACGAAACAGCTGTCCAGTACTTCCAGGTTTTCCAGTGGTTCTCTTACTGATGTCAGCTCATAATGAGATCCTCCATGCAAAAATGAAATTGACAACAGATCTCATGAGAGATTTACAAATAGCATACACCATCTCTGATATTGCCAAAATGTCCATATTAGCTCGTCAGCCGTGATCATTTCATTAACTTGATCAGTTTCGTATTTTGACAAAATAGGATTTCAATATAGCGAAAATATTCATTCAGACATCTATAAAACAAAATAATTGAGAAAAGAATATCCTTCCCGATAAATTCCTCTTCTGGCTCTGCATTTGTATATATATATGTTTACATACATAGAATATTCTAGATTAGTAGTTAATAACTATATTATTATTATTATTGTATCCTTTAGTTCCTAGAGGAACATAACTATATTAGTGTTTTTTAAATAATACCGATTTGTAAAGTAAGATCAATGCAGTTACAGTTCATTAAAGATGCTTAAATTATAATAATAATAAAGATATAATAGCAAATAGAATATCAACTATAAAATCACGGAAATTCCACAAAAATTCAGGATCATTCAAACCTAGATGGCCAAGGTAAGGATAATGTCTGAAGTAACTTCTTTTGGATGCACAAATTAGGATTTTCGTCTTTTGCATGGTTGTAATCAAAAAAGAAAAAAATGGAGAACTGCGCATTACGGTAGTCAAGAATTTTGGGAAAATAAAACCCAGTTCGTTTCAAAGTGGTTTGCCTTCATACAGGCGTAACTTGTTATAGATACCCTTGAATAAATAACTTAGGTGTCATTTATAAGTCACAGTTGTGACAATTATAACTAATCTTGACAAACGTATGAATCAAGTTTCTCTTATCTTAGCCCACACAATGGAATGAAACTATAAACAGTCTTGTATAAAATGTGATGCACAGTGTAATGTAAATTTTTTTAATACAACCACTGCCATGACTGTGATTATTCATCTAAAATAACCACAGTTAGTCACCTTTGACAGTTCATTGTATTTTGTATTTGATTATTTAAAAAAATTCATTTCATCCTGTAATTAACTAAATTTACTAAAATATGAACGACACACATGGATGTTCGGAGGCTATTGGCAGAAAGCTATGGACCTGTGTCTTATGTGGTTATTGGTACCGGTCATCAAGTCGTATCTGCAACCTTTCGGAAAATTCTAATCCATATCATCTATTACTGCAGTTAAAGACGTCATCACTGAGTTATTCCGACCTTGTGGGGCTGGAATGGATTGATTAGTCACTCACTGGAGTGTTACCAATATCATGTTACCTAGAGTTCTAGTGAAGGATGGTAACCAGGGGGTTTCACCAAATAAGGCAGGAGAATATTTACTCGCCCATGGCATTGACTGGCGGTTGTGTAAAATATCATGACTTTTAGAAATTAGAACTGATGGGTCATTGGATCGAGTCCCTGTGGTGGAATGGTCTATCAGTTAGCTTGGTTTGTAAGGGTTAGTTATGTTTTTACGAGTTGATCACGGATTGATATCAGTTAGAGAACCAGTGAAAACCAGGGAGTACTGGACAGCTGCTGTTTCATCCCAGTTTGGGAATCATCGTGAGTACGCACCCACTGCCAGGGTTTGAAACCAGGACCTTCCACTTACAAGGCAAGCTGGCTCGTATACCATTCAGCCACTGGAACCCGACCTGATTCACTGGCTCATGAATTCTTTTTTTCTTCAATAATTCTTTGAGCTAATTCTAACAGTCAGGTTCTTCGAAATAATATTCATTTTATTTCATTTAAAAAATTTAACAGTTATACTATTGTGACACTCTTTTAAAGATTGAAAAATATAGATTACAACAAAAATGAAATTATTATAGGTACACACACACATATATATATACATTTGTGAGTCAACAGGGCTATACTGTTGTGATTTACTCTGGTCGATATAAAGGGGTATTGGCTTTCTTAAAAGCAGTGATCAATAAAAGCGTCTGCGAAACAAATAACAAATAGGTATACGAGTGGCACAGCACAATTAAACTGTCGTTTTACCAGTATAACGCATAAATTCAATTTCACTGCATAACTCTATGCACACGTCGACATTAGTGTAGTAACAAGCAAATATAAAATAGTTTTATTGTGTGATTCATTTGTTGAATGTGTTAATTATTAACTGATAAATTTATTTTAATTTTATTGTTTTAATTTTTTTTTGTTTTGTTTAATAAAGATGGATTACATGGAGTTTAGAGAAAGGTATTTGACAATAAGAAGAGAAGTTGTGCGAGTGAGTGCCTTGATATGATTATGATCAGTAATAAATTGTTCTCGAAACATCATCAGTAAATATTACTGTATAA